TGTTTTGTAAGTAGAAAAAGTACATGCTAGAATGGTGATAAAGAGTATAGTATGGTAAATACATTACTATAATGATAACATAGTTGTTTGTTATCATTATTAAGTATGTCCTGTACATCATTGTATGTGCTATACCCTTATATGACTGGCAGAGCAGTAAGCGTCTTCGTCTGTTGGGGTGAACTTGGGGGGCTTAGAAGCAAGAAAGGTTCATCACTCACAGTTCTGGAGGCTGGGAAGTGCCAGGTCACGGGGCCCTGCTTCCCGGCCGGCTGCGGGCCCTTTTATAAGCGCATCCCAGGCCGCCCCACCCCAGCCCACCTCCCAGCGTCCTTCACTTCAGCGCCTGAATGGGGGGCACAGGTGTTCAGTCCGGAGCAGATGGAAAGGCCCTCTTACCCCAACTAGCTGATCCCCCAGAGCTGTCCGCGGCCCAGGCTCCTCCCTCCGGCCCTGCCCGCCGCCTCCAGGTCCCTCCGTCAGAGAAAACACGCGCCTCATTTCAGTGGCCCTCCCAGCTCACCTGGCCTCTGAGCCCGACTCACCAGCTGTGTTCGGTCTGTGGGTGGAGCCAACACGCTCCTCCTCCTTCGGGCTGAATGGACTCAGCACCCAGTCAGGGCTCCCTGTGGGCGGGCTCCCCAGGGCCAGGGCTGCGGGGCCTGCCTGGGCCGTCCTTGCTGCCTCTCACTGTGGACATCGCTGGGCCCTGCCAGGCGCTTGTGTCCCGAGGTTGCCTCTTGCTGTCCGTTTGGTTCTCTTCCACCCGCACCTGGGAGCCCGGGGCTGACAGTCCTTGGCTCGGGGCGCAGCCTCCCGCAAAAAAAACAGAAGTGGAGCTCCCTCTGTGGCAGCGCCACGCCTCGGTCCCGCCAGCAGCTTTCATTTGTATTTTTCTATGAACATACGTTCTCCTCTTGGACGCTTTGAATACAATTATTTTTTAAAACCCTGTGGGTCATGGAGCCCACATGAGCACATCGTAGAAATAGAAAACACAAAAGGAGGGGTTAGAAAACAAGAGACGCTGGGAAGAACCAGGAATAGAAAACCTTCCGAGAGGGCCCTTCAGGTGTTAAAGCTCCATAATAACCGAGCGCACGCAGGACGCTGCGTTCTCCACCCATGAAAACTTAATTACCGCCAGAACAATGGGGATCTATATGGAAACCGTTCTCATCAAGTCCACGCGAGGAGGTGGAAGTCCCTGCGATTTCAGCCTCTTTATTAAAAATGTAATTATTCATCGAAACAATGGAACCGGGCGGCCTGCGCCGTCGTGGGTGTGGAGCCTCCGCAGGGCGGGCCGAGGGCTGAGGGCCGGGCGCTAGGAACCTGGGGCAGGGACCACGGGCCTTGGACAGGAAACCCGCACGCCGAGGCGGGAAGCCGGGAGAGGGAAGGGGCCACACGTGTGAGAAGTGACGGGCAGAGGGCAACGCAGAAGAATACGGGGGACTGAGTGTCGGGAGAAATCACAGGCCTCACAGCCACCAGCCCTCCCATCCCCCCCAGAGCCGCCTTCGCCTGCTGGACAGGACGGACGAGGGCTCTTCCCAGAGCTGCTCCTCCCAACGCCGCCCGCGGGTGCTCTGGGTTTTGCATGAAACATGCAGCCCTCTCCTGCGGGGTCAGTGGTGAGCACGGGGCTCAGCTCCTCTGGAGGGGCCCGGGGTGGTGGGCCCCGGGTGGTGGGGCCCAGATGGTGGGACCTGGGTGGTGGGGCCCAGACGGTGGGACCCGGGTGGTGGGGCCCGGGTGGTGGGGCCCAGACGGTGGGACCTGGGTGGTGGGGCCCCGGATGGTGGGCCCCTGGTGGTGGGCCCCGGGTGGTGGGGCCCC